ATGTTCGTAAAAAAAGGTCGAGAGTGTGTGAGGCCACTAATAAGTTGGCCCGAACCTTTAGGCCTTATTGCATGTGCATCTAGAGTTCGAAACACGTATTGGATTTCCAAAATTTATAATTACCCCTAGCAGAACAGTATGGGAAGCTGGGGTGGGTTGGGGGTGTTGGAGTGTTCTGTTGTAATGCAGTAATAGTGAGGTCTAAAGTTGGATAGCAGTTGGTCGCTAGAAATGGATACGTAGCATATAGCAGTTAGTCGCTAGACAAGGATACGTAACATATAGCAGTTGGTCGCTAGAAATGGATGCGTAGCACATAGCAGTTTGTCGCTACACAGGGATTGTAGCATAAAGCATTTGGTCGCTAGACAGGGATACGTAGCATATAGTATTTTTTAAGGTATTTTTAAAATTTGCATGGACTTTTAAGAAAAATAATGTTGTCTAATAATAATAATAATAATAATAATAATAAAAATTATTATAATAATAATAATAATAATAATAATAATAATAATAATAATAATAATAATAATAATAATAATAATAATAATAATATTAATAATAATAATAATAATAATAATAATAATAATAATAATAATAATAATAATAATAATAATAATAATAAATTATTCTGATATCAGGCCGACCAGTCCTTACACTAACCTCTTAATTGTGAGCACCTATCGAGGCAGCTATTATCACCAATTTCGTAAATCTTTGGTATGCTTCAACCGCGGTTCCTACCCGCGACCTTCCGCATCCAAGTCGGACGCTCTAACTACTCGGTCGCCAGAGCTGACATTTGTATTTAACATATTGCATAGCAAATTGTTGTCCATCATTGTACAGTTGACTTTACTTAAATATAATCTAAACATGTTAAAACATTGACATGATGTTTAAAAGTTAGAAGATACTAGTCGGTTTACCTGCTTTTGCGATCAACATAAGTACTCATTCCTATATTAGCACCAGTCTTTAGTGGGATCAGTTTTAGTTGATTTCAGTTATAAGTTGAAAAAATTCAAGCATTTAAAATTTTATTGGAATTACAAAGTGTTTATTAATATATTTGGACTGAAACATTGTCGTATGATTATATCGTATGGTTGTGAATTCATTCAATGACATTTTGATTATATCATTGTGATACATCAAAACTAATGGCATATCACCTCACCAAAAAACTATTAGCACATGATCACATTCTCAACTGGAATTCATTTCGAGCACTATAATTTTGGACTTGTGATAGAACGTTTAGGACTTTAAAATTTTCCCTTTTGAGTTCTAGGGAAATAAATTATTTATTGAATTTTCCTAAACCTGTTGGTTTTTGCTTGTTCTATTTACTTTGCTTATAACAATAGAGTCGTAACAACGGACATATATTTGGTACGTGTTATGTATATATGCCACCAGAACTGACTTATCCCTCCACCTTTTCATGGACACAAGCATTTTTACTGTTTGTTTTTAAGATATACTTTGATACGTTTCAGATATAATTGTTTATTAGATACTGTAAATAATAGTACAATATTTTATTGATATCTTATTAGTTTTGGTAGTTTCAATTCTCCGCTTTCGCTACTCACGTTAGCCTTGTTATCAAAGCAAATATTGTAAAGGAGAGAGCTTGAAATATTCATAAGCTTATTGTTCTATCATCTGCTGCACGGCCAAAAATGGCAAGCCGATGTAATTGGCCAGTAACTAGTAAAATCGGTATTTCCGAATAATTAGTCGTATTGCGGAGTGCAAAGTAGAGAGCATATATACTCGGGAATTAGACTAATGAGCGCATTGCGTGATTGGGAAAAGTACAGAGATTCATTTATAAAGATCGTAAAAGCTAGCTCTCCTTTGTCTCACGAGCAAATGTGTGACACAGTTGTCAGACAAGAAACCCAAATTACAGGCAGAACTGACTGTAATGCTGTCAACTAAATAGAACATCGCGATATTGCTGATTTTAATCCCAGGCTATCGGTTATGCCGTCAAATCAGCGATTAATTGTTTTCTTCGATTTCTTTGATTTCGTAAACGGTTCAGATTATTTATTCCAATTTTGAACAAACGATAACATATGTATTTCTGCCAGACTGAAACAATAAATTACAAAATATTGATTAAACTGTGTTTATATAAACATACCAAAACTGAAGTAATAGAAATATATTTGTCCAAAACGTCAGTTTTTCACTATCAGGAAAAGCTCATACTTAACGCACAATGACATAGCATAATCAACCTGATACTTCTTTAAATTCTTTCCCTGTGAATTAGCACATACGATGAAAGTAGATCAAACGATATCAATGAAAGAAGAGATCGGGTTTAAGTCAACAAACAACCCTGGTATGAGGCAGACTCTACAGTAGTGAAACATAGCACTTGATGTACTTAATGAAGTAATTTCAGAAATAATATGGCGGATAGCATAGCTTTATATAAACTCCATAAATATAAGTACATAAATATAATAAGGCACAACCTTACGGAACAAAGGAAAATGTAAGTCTTGAAAAAAGCGTTACCAGAGAAAGTTTCGAAACGCTTCTAAAGATTAGTAAAATGTCTAAAAAAGTTTATTGGAAAAATGAACCGCACCGAATGGTACCGGTACTTTTCAGAATCATGTAATACAGATTATGAGATTGATCAAATTTCAGATTAACTAAACAACCACTACTCTGCATGAGATTCTTCGTTGTAAAATGACTGGAGAAGTGTTCGAGATCATACAAAGTTTAAAGACTAGAAATTCAGGTAGTATTGATGACTTTTTGAATGATATTTTTAAAGTAAAGGAAGAAAGAAAAAAAAAATATCGGTATCTCTTTTATTGCATTGTTTTAATTACCATGTTGATATTGGACACATTCCGACATATTGGAGAGAACTTTTTATAGAACATATTCACAAAGTAAATATTAATAGAGGGATTAGATTCTTTCCAGTATTCAGCAAAATATTTACTTCAATTTTACATTCAAGACTGGCTATCTGGTTCAAACAAAATTAACCTCTAGGTTAAGGAAATGCTGGCTTTAAAAGCGGATATTTCACTGTAGATCAAATATTTATTCGATGCTTTTTGATATGTAGGTATCTGATTAAACATAGAGGTAGGTTAAATGATGCTTTTACAATTATAAAAAAAATAAAAGGGATAAAAATATTAAAAATTGACCTAGTGATATAAAACTTTATTCGTGGGATGCTTTAAGATGATGAATTGTCAGTAATTTTGTATATAAGCTAAGAAACGATTTTTAAAAAAATCTATTTGTATAACAATTATGTGAATTTTTTAAACCTACGAATTGGGTTGTATTAATATAGGAGCAGCAATGGGGGCTATACAGTTATTTATTATCAAATGCATGGGTGCATGCGTCTGACATTTAATTCAAGATGTTGATTAATAGTTACACTGCAGGGGCTTAATTGTCATTAAGCGAGAGCAGACTATGCTATCGATCAATTAGTAATGGTAACTAGATCTATTGGAGGAATACATGAATTCTTCTATATTATGGTAGTTGACTATGGAAAGATACATCGGTTATGTAGACAAATACGACAATGTTTGAACTGAATGCGTGTTTATAACCTAAAACCAACTGACAGTAAGTGTCTGTCGTTACATACTATAGGACTAATTTTGTGAATAGAGAAAATGTGTTTATTCAGTTCAGTGTGTGAAAAAAGCGAATAGATACTTAGACAGGGATTATTTTGTTTTAAAAGGAAACAACTTCAACGACTGGTATAAGGGTGAACTCATGACCATAAGATGACGACCAGAAAGAGGGTAGAGGCAGAGAGAGAGAGAGAGAGAGAGAGAGAGAGAGAGAGAGAGAGAGAGAGAGAGAGAGAGAGAGAGAGAGAGAGAGAGAGAGAGAGAGAGAGAGAGAGAGAGAGAGAGAGAGAGAGAGAGAGAGAGAGAGAGAGAGAGAGAGAGAGAGAGAGAGAGAGAGAGAGAACTAAAGGCAGTGACTCTTGAGGATGGCAGAAGAATACGTCGGCCACAACCGCCTAGGCGTATTGATTCTTTACAGTTACTAGCATCTAGATATGAGATTATGCAGACATACCGGACAATTAATGTTCGAAACTATCACTCGATTTCATGAGAAAAAAATTGCCGTGTCTTTGTTAAACTAAATTGCTGATTGCATTTTAGAACTTTGTAATTTTTTAATTATTTTGGTAAAATTTTATCATACAATTGTTCTTGCAAAATTTTATTTGTTTACCTAATTAATTAAATTGCTATATTATGTTGTTCTATTCTATATTTCTGCCCAGATCTACATTTATTCCATCTATTAATTTCATTTGTTATAAATATTCATTCAATCGCAGCTATTACACCATAGTCGATCATCCCCTAGACATCGATTACCACCATCAGAGGGAAGTAAATCCCACCACAAGCTGCAAGTTAGTATTTTTGGTGTTCTGTAGTGCACTCTGTTATAAAACCTCGTGTATATGTATCAGAACCCGGTATCGATTCTAGCGGCAAAGGCACTTTTTAGATTAAGGACTATTCATATTCCTTTTGGTAAAGTTTCTACAAAGTTCTGTTCAAAATATATTTTACTGAATTATGGGTCGGATATTTAGGGCTTTTACCAAGCAAATGGCATGGAAACCGTGCATATGCCACTTTGTAAGTATAATATTAACATTGAAAAACACACTTCTTCAAATGTTGTTTTATAATCAATTAGGGGGAATGCCAATACAAGTGGTTATATTTCGTTACGTTGTTGTTTAAGTTGTTTATAATTTTTAACGTAGCTTTAACAATTTTTTAGTCATATCGGTACGATGTCTGCAGTGTGGCAGTTTATAGTGATGTCTAGCACTGGGGCTTCATTCCGCAGACATGTGGCATGATGTCCCACCCAGTCACATTATCCTGACACTAACCTCTTAATGCTGAGCGTCAAGCGATGCATCTGTTAGTACCATTTTTGTAATTCTTTGGTATGACTCGACCGGTGAACCCACGACCTCTCGCATCCAAGGCGGACGCTCTAACCACTAGGCCACAGGAGCGGTTTAATAATTCGTTAAGTACCGGTTCAGTTACTAAAGTGGTTATAGATTGATTCCCATCATAAAGCTGTAATTTTCATTCCAATAGGTTGAACACTGTGATTATTGGGTAAATAAAGCTAAGAATCTACTATTTTCATAACGAATTAGAGAAGGCTGAGAACATCAAGGGGTGGGGAATGAGAACCACTTTTGATTAGATTTATGCAGCAGCGTTCGCTTACTTTGTATGTTCAGAAATGGAACCTTTTCTATAAATGTAAATATAGCCAAATTTAAAACATATTCCCTATGTTGAAAGACTGCACTTTCTGTGATATACAGAAGACGTAATTGACTTTATTGTTAAATGTTCAACGTATAATAATTTGTGATGCTTGTTTACCGTCGTATATTCTTGTTTTTGTTTACAACTTTATGCAGAGATATCAATGTCCTACATAATCTTGCTCTTCATCTAGAAAAATCTATAACATGAATTTCAAAATGCCGGCCTAATGGTAATTTCTCGTTAGTGGCTATACATTTATAACCCTGTTCAATATGGGCCTCCATTTAGAAACCATTTGTCAACATTTTATTACGTATACTTATTATTGTAATTAGGTGTAATTAGTATGTTTTCAGACAGGCTTATCCTTTATCTCTTGCTAAGTTTTTATGTATGGTATCTGATGAGTACAGCATATAAATACTGTAAAAAAGTTGTACTTATGTGATCTGATCAGTAATTGTTTCGGTCATAAAATTATTAAGTGCGTGTCAAGAAATATATCTAGGAGTGCAGCTTAGGGAACAAAAGGGGAACAAATCAAATTTTATGCACGCAGATACACATACTTTCTGAATAGCCAGGCGGGACACCTGCCACAGATGGCATCCACCCACAAATATTCGCCATTGCTCATTTGTCTTGAAAACAGCTTTCAGAGACATCGCAAAATATGAAAGATTTAGATGACATATAATTCGAGATCTTAAAATGGAACCTTTGCACTCAAGAAATATGCACCGCGGCAAATCTGACTCATTAGGACAAGCATTCGTCTTGATCCCAAACGTAAAATAATTAGCTTTCAATGGTTTGTTAGACTTATATTAGAACAATTTTGAACAAGTTGGGATGCCCACTCCCAAATTTTATAAAATGAATCTGAAAATAAAATACCAGTAAACGAACAGCTGGATCCTGTTACAGCTTCATAAAAAAAAAAAGAACTAGTACGTAATCGCTTATAAGACGAGCCCAACTGCAAACTGCATAGACCCAGATTTTAGTTGCATAATGCGCGGCAGACCTTGGTCTGTGGATTTAGATAATAGTAATCATCAGAACAAACTCGATAGACCCTGATCCGAAGGCGTATTATGCTACAGCAGAGAAAGATCTTTGTTGTTTGCAGTTTGACTCGACTTATAAGCAGATATAGACGGTACCTAGCCGATACAGATAGTTACAATGTTAATTTGTTTTGTTTGTTTTCATCCAGAGCCAGCATAAATTTTTTATTGTTTACAACTATTATTCATATCGGTTGAATCTACAAAAAGGAAGCTTATATTTCATAATCGTACAGCCATATGGCTTCTAATTTTTGTGTGCGTGTGTATTTAATGTTGACAGTGTGCAGTGTTTTAAATGTCATTGCAATGTTGCACCGAATCAGTCAAGATCGAGAACATTAAATCTTATATCTGTTTTCATTGTTATCATGTACCATTTACCCCGGATGAAATCTGAACGGTACAGAGATAACCGGTTGTAGCTTGTTGATATATGTTGTTGTAGCTGCGATAACGTTTGATTAGCAAATTTTCTTTCAGTTATTTACAGATAAATCATCTCTTTTGTTCGTCAAAAATGAAAGTACTTGGAAAAGTAGCTGTCATCACTGGCGGTGCGCGAGGCTTTGGAAAGGCATTTTCTGAAGCCTTACTAAAGCGAGGGGCAAAGGTAACACATGTATATATGTATATGTATTTAGATGAATGCTCGTTTCACCGACAGTCGGTTTACAGGTAAATTTATCCGTGTAATCTATTTATCCTCTTTGTAACGTGCTCTTAAAAGAAAGTATAGATCACTCCACTAATATAAGACATTTTACAGACTAACTCCTTAAGTATATATAAGACGAATCTTTGTCTGGCTGATAAGACAATGTATTCCATATCCGTGATGTATAGTTTAAAGGTGAAGTTCACTGCATGTACAACATATATTATATGAACTACTGTTAATTTATGTGTCTTTGTTTTTTTCTAATATCTTTTCTTTGAAATGCAAAATAGTATACAGATTTAATACAAAATCTAAACAGAAGTGTTTATCGATGGTAAACTGACATAAAATTAGCTACTTAGATGTAATTTAAACATACATCACACGTTTACTGTGTTTTGAACCTTAATATACTCGTATCATAACTTACTTAAATTTACTGAATAATACGTGTAATAACACCTAATGCAGAAAAAGCATAACAACGGAGGAAATTGCATAGATATTGAAAGTAATTTCAATACATTATACTGAGGTATGTCAAACGAGATCGGCATTAATCATCTTGCGATACATATAATCATTGACTTGTACTCACTGCAAATGAAATTTATAAAACTCGTTGAATAATATAACTCCTTTCCTCCAAAAGATACTGTATCCCACTAGTTTCATAAATTTTATTGGAAATGAGCAAATTGTATCATACATATGTACGCGTGATCGGTTCTCATCATCATCGTCGTCATCGTCGTCGTCATCATCATCATCATCATCATCATCATCATCATCATCATCATCTTCTTCTTCTTCTTCTTCTTCTTCTTCTTCTTCTTCTTCTTCTTCTTCTTCTTCTTCTTCTTCTTCTTCTTCTTCGATCCCTTAACCCAAGAGGTTGCTGGGGCACCACAGTTGACTTTACAACCAATTCTCTATATCTTTCCCAGTTCTCTATTGTCCTTTTGGAATCTCCAAAATCCCATGCCTGTCCACTCCTCAATATTGTCTTCCAACCTCTTTTTCTGTCTGCATCTTCGTCTGCAACCTCTCAATGTGACTTGCAAGATTGCTTTTGCCAGTCCAGATAATATTGAGAATTGCTGGTCTCAACCTTGTTATTGCTGCTATTGTCTGGGCAATCCTGCAAAGTAGTTCTTGTTTGGAGCCATCATTTGTGATAATTGATCCCAAGTATTTGGCTCTTTCCAGCTTCTGGCCACTGACCTTTATTTCTGCACTGATGCCATTGGTGTTGTTTGTCATCAGTTTATTTTTTTTTGAACTGATCTCTATTTTATATGCATTGGAGGTTGTGTCGAACCGCTCAACCAAGTCTGCCAGTTTATTTTCATCTCCTACTAAACCATCAATATCATCTGCAAAGCGAAAGTTGGTAATTGTTCTTTCTCCGATGCTGACAATGACCTTGTGGTAATGCAAGGCATCCTCTAACATCCTTTCCAGGAAAATATTGAAGAGTGTAGGTGACAGTATATATCACTGTCTTACTCCAACTGTTGTTAGAAATCAGTATTCTCTGCCGCCATTGATGAAGATAGCAGTGTCGGCTTTGTCATAAGGTGCTTAACAACCTGCACCAGGTCTGAGCTGATGTTGTACTTCCTCATAGTTGCCCATAAGGCTGCATGCCATACCCTATCAAAGGCCCTTGTGAAATCTATAAAGACGTGGTATAGATTCTGCTGATGTTGAAGGTATTTCTCGGAAAGGCGTTTAAGATTAAAGATTTGTTCTATGGTGCTCTTTCCTGTTTGGACGCCTGCCTGCTCTTCAGCATTTTTCTCTGCTTGAGGTTTCAGTGTGTTCAGAATTATCTTCAGCATGACTTTGCTCAGGTGACTGATCAAACTGATGGTTTTGTGGTTTTGGCATAGCTGTAGGTTTCCTTTCTTGGAAAGCATGATGACCAAGGAATGAGTCAATGTGGTGGGCCATTATCCTGTCTGCCATATGAAGTTGCAGAATGTTGTTAGGACTGTGACTGTATTTTCTCCTCCTGTTTGAATGAGCTCTGCTGGTATGTTGTCAATGCCGGTTTACTTTTCTTTCTTTAGTGACCTAACTGCAATTTCTACTTCTTCACAAAAGAATGGGGTTGTCATCAATTTCTTTTGCCTGAGAGCAACTGAGTACTGTAGGATCTCATTGGGTCTTATGATTGTTCAGTTCTGAGCAGTATTCTGTCCATGGCTTGACGATCTTTTGATCTACTTTGAGGCATTTTCCTGATTTGTCTTGGATGATGGCAGGTTTCCCTTGTTTATGGGATGTGAGATCTTTCACCAGTTGATTTGGAGTTATTTTGTATCGTCTGCCATCTTTGAACTTAATCTGGATTCGAACTTGGATAATTTAAGACACTTTATTGATAGGACTTGTGTGTGTCAATTCTTGGATTAATATTTGGATTATATTCACAAACTGTAAGTCATTTTACATATTTGTACTGTGTTTTGTAGTTAAATACATTTTCTTGTTAAACTTTATAAAGCTTTATGTCTTCACTCTTTACTTTGTTAATTTAAACGAGCCGAAATTTGTAAGAATGTCAGTACGATAATATCTTTGATTTACATCAGCTAGTATAAAAGTAACGTACTTTCCTTTATTCAGCAGTTTGCCAGTTTTTATTTCATACCTGTAAAACGTTTCTGAATTTAATTCATAATCTTAATTATGCACTTTTCGACCCGCAGGTCTGTTTCTCGGACATAGACATCACCGGTGGACAGCGGTCTCAACGTGAACTGGCAGAAAGGTTCGGTGAAAATTCCGTTCATTTTGTTAAATGTGACGTCACCAAGGAGGAAGAATTCAGACGTAAGTTTTCGCCATCATGCAGTAATGATTTACGTTGAGAGCAAGAAATATGACAATACATTCATCATCATCATCATCATCATCATCATCATCATCATCATCATCATCATCATCATCATCATCATCATCATCATCAACAACAACAACAACAACAA